AGAGAATTTGCATTTGAATACAAAATGCACAAGGTGGGATCACCACTTTCACTATATCAAGAAAACACTAGACAAGATCAAGAAATCAATAAGATCCTCAAGTGGCACGGAAGGCAATGGGAGTTGACACAATCTTGGCAAGAGATAAGGCAAATAAAAACAACCCAATGAAGATGATCAATAATTTGGACAACACATAAGTGAGTACCAATTGTCAAAAGACAAGAAGTATTTGGAAATGATTCCCAGTGGTAGATAGAAGGAAACCAATATCATCTTCACACCAAGAACAAGCAAATTGCAACTTGTAGAGCTAACATGTCACCTAGGAACAAGATAATTTACAATATCAACCTTAGGTGACAATATCTCAAATGTACACATTTTCTAGGCTTGTAATATACACATAGTATATTACTCCCCCATAATGTGATACCAAAAAAAACTTAACAAGAGGCAATAAGAGGATCCAACAAGACATAATTAATGGACTATTTAGAATTTAAATTTCTCATGAGAAGACATACCACATAGTGACTAGATAAGTTTGCAATATCAATACTAGGTGGTATTCCTCATGTACACACATTTGTGGGACCGTGAGGTGCACAAAGCATATCACTCCCCAAAATGGGACGTTCCACTAATCTCTCACAAGAGCCAATTAAGATAAAAACAAGATGCAAAAAGGCTCAACACACAACTCACACGTACATGAAGTGCAAACCAACATACACATACTTGATTACTAAAGATAAGCAAATTGGAAGCACACATATACAAACACATGCAAGGTACAAAACCAAAACATGCAATGGGGCAAGTAACTTTCAATGTAAACAATTTAAGTACAAGTTACCGCAAGGAGGCACATTGGATATGAGATAGAAACTTGATAATCCGGATGACTTGGCTTGAGACAATATGAATGATGAAGAACCCTTAATTGTTCATAATGTAGCCAAGTCTCCAATGCCCTCCAACAACACCTATTGATCAGGTTTGAGCTTGTTGGTCCCCAACCAAGTTGGGTCCTAAGAGGTTACTCACAATAGGCTTGGCAACCCAAATGGTTCTTTTCTTGACACCACTTTGAGTACCAACAAACTTGTCAAACACATTGCCAACCTTATCCTTCCAAAGAGAATAGATATTATCAATAATAATTGGTTTGGATAAGTTACCACTAGTGCATGAAGAAGCGACGTGACCTTTCTCACGACATAGGTAGCAACTCTACTCTTCATTTTCTTCTCACTTGATTTCTCAACAAGAGAAGAATTAACTTGAGTCTTCTTGGTAAGTGGCCTTTCTTCAACTTGAGATTGAGCATGAGATTGAACTTGAGACCTCTTACCTTGTTGCTTGTCACTAATGGCCTTCTTCTTCAATAGGCAAGATCTAACATGATGCCCTTTAATTTTGCACTTGAAGCAAATAATCTTGGCCGAATTCTTGTGTTGTTCTTGGCCCTTCTTCTTGTTCCTCTTGGACTTCTTTTTCTTATTGGAGTTGAATCCAAATCCACCTTTGCCATTGGGGGATTTTTGCACACTCAAGATATTTTTGAGTTTGGACTTCCCTTCATGACACTTTTCCAAGTCTTTCTTCAAAGAAGTGACTTGGTCCTTGAGCTCTGTGATTTCCTATACATGGTTAGTATCAACACAAGTGCTAGAGGAAGTATAAGCTTCATCGTTAGAGCAACAACGCAAGGAAAGCAATTCATCACAAGATGTGCCAATGTGATGCATAGATGAATTACGAGGACTAGCACATGGCAAGATAGAATTTTGACTTGAATTAATGCTAGTATCCTCATGAGACTCACTAGATGTTACCTTGACAATCATAGCTTCATGAGCTATCTTTAGCACATTATGGGATACTAGAAGATCATCATGAGAGCTTGTGAGCTTTACATGACTTTCTTCCAATTTTCTATAAGTGCTAGATAGAAATTCAAGTTGAGCCCTTAGCTCAACATTCTCCTTCAAAATGGATGCCTCACTAGAAATAGAGTTAGTAACACAAGCATCTTTCCCTAATAATAAAGCACGAATTGACTCCGTCGGGTTCACCGTCACAATGTTTTTATAAAAAGATCCCTATGGTTTTTGGCATTCAACCTGCCGTCCTATTTTGAGTGGTTACATGAGAAACATTTCATTCTTACAAAAAGGTCCTTGCATTTTTTTATTATTATTCAACCCGCTATCCAGATACAGTAAAGGCGGCACTTCAGCGAGCAGGGTGTTCGAGCGGCGGAAATTGGCCATGGTGATCGCATGACGTAGCAAGAGGCGGGTGTTGAGGTGTAGCCGAGTTGATGTCCGACAAAAAGAGATGGATGAGGCGCTGGTGTGGTGTCAAATGGGGCCGAGCCGTGCAGCGGCGCCATGGGCAGAGGGGCTTTCCCTGGGGTAGACGAGGGGCCAACATCAGTGCCATCCGAAGTACTCCCTCACTCTATCATGAGAACAGTGCTTGACACCTTGCCGACCAGGTTCGGGACCGGCAGCCCCGGACGCTAAATGTGCCATCACCAGCTACCAGTCTTTTGCGAGCTGACCGAAGATCATCATCCCCCAAGTTTTGCTCCTGGAAAACCCTGTCATGACCACCATTACCCGAATGTACAACATCAACCTCCCGCTCTTTGTTCATGTTGTGGTTCTGCCTCGACCTCCTAGTCCTTCTCTACCTCCCGCCCCTCCCCTACTAGCTCCACCCATCCCTCCTCTGCCTCTGCCACCTGCTACCCCCCTCCTCGACCACTCCCTGTACCACCCAAAGGTGGCTCAGTATTCCAGTGGAGCCAATCACCCCATTCACACTTCGCTGGGTCGTGTACACCATCTCCACATTCTTCAACCACATGCCTCATGCACCCACAAAAGTAGCAGAAATCCGGCAATTTCTCATAAATAACAGGGTAGGGTAGGTACAAATCTAACCAAGGGTTTATGAACATCCACAAAAACTCTGACCCTTAGAAAGCTTGATGGATTGATCCTCCCCTCGTTTACAAGGACGGTAAAGGGCAACATGCCCACCTTCTCAGCCAACTCCTTCTTCCTCGTGAGACCATCCAGTAGACCTTTGATTCTAGCCCATAAGGGATACATATCCAAAGCATACTCGACAACATTAGTAAAGCCATCATACTCCACAATAACGACAATATCTCTACGGAATTGCCATGGCCCTCCTTCCATCACCCGCTTCCAATCCCCCAAGCAATGGCACTGAGCTAGGAAGAGATTTGGTCCTTTGATATTGTAAGTTACGCCTTGGGCGCAGGACCAAGCATTCCTCAACGAGTTCAGAAGCGTCGCATGGCTAGACGGCCGCATTGTATGAACCCTAAACAGGCATAACCACCACACTTCTTTGATCAATTCTTCTAACAGATCCAAGTCTTCCTCCTCCTCTCCATGAAGTTTTAAACCCTCAAAGGCATCCTCCAGGGTCGGATCATGACCTAGATTATCCCAATCCCGTTTCTCCTCCCGGCGGATGCCCGCGTCAACATCCTCCCTCGCTTCATCAGTAGATTCATTCAAGATTGGATTATTGGACGAAGATCCTCCCCCTCGACCTCCTACTCCATCTACCTTCCCCTCTAGATGCCCTAACTCCGCCTGTACTTCCTTCGTTCCTCCCCCCGCTTCCTCTTGCACCGGCCTCTCCATAGTGATAGGTACTCTCAATCCCGATCCCTAGGCCTATCGATCGTTGAACGGATTCTGGCAAACGACGGTAGGGTTTTGTGGTGGACTCCGACGGGAAAAGGTGGACTCTAGGAAACCCTAGAGGAAATAATCCCGATCCCTGAGCATATCTCTTTCAGTTTGATGTACGGATTTGCACAACAAGAAACTCTTTCAGTTTACTAGTAAATGTGTACATGCAATGCACGTTGATATTAAGTAATATATTAATTGCACGTAAATATTAGGTAGGATATTATTTGCATACGAAGTATGTGATTAGCATTGACATTAATATTTTATATGATATTAGCTGCACACTAAACGTGTTGAGCGCTCGCCATTGGAGCAATTCGAGTCATTGGATTGGCCTGATTTGACGGCTGGGATTTGTTGGATCTGCCTCTTTGGCTATTTTTATATTGGTATAGATATAGATATAGATACAGATATAGATTCATTATAGATGCAAACTATTATTTTGACTTTTGAGCTCATTAAACAACCGAGCATATCGACAGTTCATGAGTATTTGTCTGATTGCACAAACCGTGCCACAATATCTCATTCAAACTTATGCAAAACATCCCTCGGCAACATGCAGGGTATCTTCTAGCTTTTCTCTATTTTTATGATTAATTTCTTGTGAAAAATTATGAAATAAACACAGCACAACACAATGAAATACAGTTAACTCAGTCTCAGGCCCTGTTTGGTTCATAAGTCCTAGGACTTCTTTTAGTCCCAACTTATAAGTCCCAAGTCCCTAAAAAGTCTCTACATGTTTGGTTCCTGGGACTTATAAGTCCATATACTCCCTCCGGTCCTTTTTACTCTGCACATTGGATTTGCCGAAAGTCAAACTTAGCTAAGTTTGACTAAATTTATATTAGAAATTATTAGCATCTATAATATCTAATAAATATAATATGAAAATATATTCCGAGATGAATCTAATGATGTTGGTGTTGTTATGTAAATGTCAATAATTTTTTATATAAACTTGGTCAAAGTTGGATGAGATTGACTTCAGACAAACCTAATATGCAGAGTAAAAAGGACCGGAGGGAGTAAGACCATATTACAACTATAAGTCCCTATAAGTCCCTCCTTGAAAGTCTTATTTCATAAGTTCCAAACGACCACTTTAAGTCCCTATAAGTCCCTTCTGTTTGGTTTAGATGGGACTTATAGGGACTTTTTTAAGTCCCTAAACCAATAAGTCCCTGAAAACAAACACCCTCTCAGTCGGCAACTGATCAATCTAAATAAGCCCATGCAATCAACCTACAATAATACTCCCCTTTCTATGCCAAAGAGGAAGAGGACGAGCAGCCAAAACAGTAGTGCTGTCATGTGATTCCAAGACCACAACAGAGTCATCTACATGTTCTTCTCCACACGTGAAGCTACGCTCCAACCTCCTCTCTTTAGAGCGGGACTCGTCGTCGACCGTGCACACATGCATGCATGTCGTGCGCTGCGATGTACACGTCTCTGTACAGTGTACATGCAGCATCGACCGATATTCCGGTGCAGATGTGCGTGTCTGGCGTCGCCGTCGGCGTGCGGGCCGGCTCCGATGGACCATCGATCGGTCACTGGCTCATCCGTGGATACTTGCAAGGAGAGCGTGTCATCTGAGTTGCTCGTCGTCGTGGTCGCCCTCGTCCGTGGAGGAGCAGGAGGCGCCCCCGCAGGTGCTTGCGGCGACGTCGGTGACGCGCAGGTCGGTGTCGTAGACCGCGCCGGGCTGCCACTCCGCGGGGAGCACCGCCCGGTCGGCGCGCAGCCACTTGCCGCCGGAGCCCGCGGTGACCACGAGCCGGAGCCGCAGCGGACCGGCTGGCACGCGCGACGTGCGCCACACCGACGGGGACGCCTCGCGCTGGGTCATGTACTGCCACAATGTCGGCAACGGCGCGGCCTCGTTGCTAGTGTCGGTGTCGTTGACCGCCCGGGCGACCTCGACGGCGGCGATGTCGGTCTGGCCGCCCTGGTAGAGGAAGCGGAGGGCGAGGTAGCCCCGGTCCCTGCTGCTCATCTCCAACACTTTAACCGCCAGGTTCTTGCTCTTGTACGCGCAGGGAATCCTCCTGAAGTCCACGTCGACGGCTGCGTCCGCGAGCTCGGCTCCACGGTCTGGCGTGGTCATGGCGGCGAAGGCGTCCTTGGTGAGCAGGAAGCGGCCAGCTGCAGTCTTGTTCGTGTCCGCCACTTCGCCTACGACGACGACCTTGACGCCATCCTTGGCGCACGCGCTCCGGCCCCTGCACCTCAGCTGGTAGCAGGCGCCGCAGGCCTGGCCGCCGCGGAAGAAACCGGCGCTGACGGCCGCAATGTGGAACCCCCCGTCGACGGCCATCTCCGCCGCCTGGCCACCATACCCGCAGGCGGCGCCGGTAAGTGCGCCGGCGCCGGGAGGGAGGATGGACACGGTGGATCTGCGCGGGCACCAGCCGCAGCGGTACGTCGCCGACGAGGCCCGCGCGGGCGGCGCCGAGGCGAGCAGCAGGATGAGGACGGAAACCGCCGCGGGGAAGAGGATCGGAAGCAGCTGCGGCAAGGCGGCCATGATCGGCGTTGGATGTAGATGGAAGGGATGTAATCGCCCAGCTAGCTAGTGCTGTCCGCGACTGCAGATCGATGGATAAGGCAGTTGAGACTGGTTGGAGAGGCCGGGGTTGCGTGGTGGTTTAAAGCAAGCGGGCGGGCGAGCTGCATGGCCCGGGGACGTGGGGAGCACGATGGATCCAAGGTGAAGGTGACGCGACGTGACCTCGCTCTCATGTCTCATGCGCGCGCGATCGCTAGTTGGCTTGTGCGCGCGCGAGACTTTGCACACGAGATTCGAGGGTAAATGAATGGGCGTCGACGTCGACCGACCTTGTCCGATCAGGACATTTTTACGCGTACGACGGCACACACGGGTCGACGGATGTCGCCGTCCGAAAGCGAGCTGCCTGCATGCCCACCGTGAACTTTGTCCTGCGCAACGAGCGCATGCATGCTTCCAGCCTAGCAGGCCGTGTTGGTTCCGTCCTCAGTTTATTCCTATGGCCGAGTTCGTGACGACAATAATTTCCAGGCGACAGCTACTCACACACTTAAATTACTACTGCTGGATTTTAACGGCCATGCATGCATATGCACAATTTGGCACGTATTTTTAACGCAATCGATATTCCTACGGCCTCAGTTTATTTTGTAGCCAAACCCTACGCAATAGCTACATTTCAGTCGATTGAGTTTCGAAGTTGGGTCAGTTGATTTTGGTCGAAGGGAGAAACAGCCAGAGCGGAGGGAGAAACTCGCCGGAGGGGAGGAAGAAGCTTGTTGGGCAGGATACCTCAATATCTATCTTAGGATCTCGCCAGACTGGCAGGATCCAAGGAATCTTTGTACGTGGAGCACAGATGAATTGTTCCACACAACTTTTAAACAAGATGAGCTGCAATGAGAATCAAAGATCTTCACAGCTTCCTTTTCAAACTGAATATACTACTAGTACAAATGTTCCGCGAAACATTTAAATAAATACTTACAACAGCTGCTATGAGTATCACAGATCTTCACATTTGAACTTTTAAACGCTTATTATAACAGCTGCTATGAGTATCACATATCCTCACATTTGAACTTTAAAATACTACTTATTATAACAGCTGCTACGAGAATCAGCGATCTTGAGTTATTAACTAACTCCACCACACACACAGAATCAACTAATTAAGTTTTTTATGTAACTAATAATTAATTAATCAGAGCTGGAAATAGATCAACAGCAGAGATCGACGGACGTGCGTGCGTGCCATGAATGAGCTTACATATATGTATATGTATTTGCACTCCATGAAACCCATGTGCTAACAGAAAACCTCCTAGCTAGCACAATAATAATTCGCCCAAGGGAGCTGGAGATCAGCAGCACACACAGACCGATCTCCATGTTTTCGCCTGCTTATCCTCAAGGCTGTCTTCGACAGCATGTATACCAATATACATATTCGATTTCTCCAGGATGCATGGCAGTGTATTTATTCATCTTTGTCTGAGGATTATAGTATCAATCCCGAGAGATCGACCATTATACTTACTTAAATTAGCAAGCTGCCGTTATAATAAACCACAAGTATACGCTCGTAGTTGCGGACTGCTATGTAATTACGTAAATAAATGTTTAGGATTTTGCTATAAATCGACGTTAGATTATTTAGCATGGCAAATCAAACGTCTGAGATGGTAAATTGTGTTGTGGCGAGGATGCCACTTTTCTTTAGGAAGGAGGGCAAATCCTTGTCATTTTCAGCTTTTGCCAGAATTTGCCATGCTTGCGAAAAGAATTTGTCATCCTCGTGACAACATAATTGACCATAAAAAACGTTTGATCTGCCATGCCTAAGTCTATTTAGATTTTTTTTTACTTTTCCTTTATCTCTGGATTGGTTGATGTATTTTCGTTATTCAGTTAATGAAAAGGGTTATGAAAAAAAAGATTTTATACATTTCCAAATGTTTAATTAGCTACTTTGGATATGTATGGCCACATATTCCGGCGCAAGCTAAGTAGACTGATAATTCTCTGTCAATCTTACTTTTTTTCATACATACATATTTAGAGGAATTGTTTCTTTTTAACAAGGTAAGGGTGCAAAAGGATCTGGTACTACATTGAATTAAAGTGGTAGGACAATACTCTTACATTATGAGGAGTCAGGATCCAATAGGGACAAGAAATTACAAACCAGACCCTAACTTTTACAAGGGGGATTCGAACGGAAAAAAATAAGATTGCAACCATGTCCAAATCCACTCCCGGTTGGATCCAATTGCAATGTCGCCGAGCACGAAAACCACTTGGGATGCCACAACACCACCACAACACCACCAGCAGGACATGGACCCCGAGTAGAAGCTTCATTGCCTTCCTTTTTAGCTCATGGTTTGCGAGGAAGATAGATGATTGTCTTTCGGCAAGATAGTTCAACGGCATGGCGACAATAGCCGGCAATCGACAACAGCAACACGCATTGTAGCTTCTTCGAGGACGCCACTGACGATGTGCTCTTTCCTATGTATGCTATCCAGCTCTCTACAACTCCTCTTCTCCTTATCCACCTCGACGATGGCTTAAAGAGTTGAGGCCAAGCAGAGGGCTCTCCTCCAGATCAGGTTGACCGACAAGTTTATTGCAGGAGATGCCAGTGTTGTCGCGGCTTGTGGAAGGAGGCACCGCACCACCACCATCACTAGCCAGACAAGAGTTGCTAGCCCGTAGTCACCACTCACACGTGACGGCGGCGCACTCCGTAACATCAACGCCACATGCCTCTGAGGTAGACTCAACCTTACTTCTACTATCTACATCGAGTTCCAGCGCCACTGGTGAAGAATGGGGAGAGAGTCGGGCGCCTCTCAACACGAGCGAGAGAGGGAGCGTGGGGTTTCAAAAAATGCCAGATTTTTTCCTAAAAAAATGTTCACCCAATTAAAAAATCTCTTCAACTAGTGTAAAAAAAATTGTAGTTGAAAAGAATAAATCCTGCGCGGACCTTAGTATTATCAATTGACTGAAAATTGGCAAATCTGTTAGGGCTACTTATCTTGTCGGGATTATCATTGATTCATGAGCGGTAGTTAAATGACGATGTCATCCTTGCACAATAAACTACTACTCTGTCCCACAATATAAAAATGTTTCAAGCTATGTTAAATTGAAAAACGTCCTTATATTATGGGACAGAGGAAGTAGAGATAAATGTCACCAAACTAACTCCATAGAGAAGACGGTGGAATAAGAATCAGCAATGGCCGCAAGATCTTTGGACTTGGCCCGTTGGGTAGATGCCGAATGCCTAATGCCGATAGCTCACCCACCCACTCATGTAGTGCATGCATGAGTACAATGACAACGATCTCAATTCTCAAGCGTGTCTATGTATAGCCCACTAATATGCACTAGCTACTTGCTAGTGTGGTCAATGGCCGCCCGTCATGGTGGAACCACAATCATCGAGCACGCGCCATTTCTTCCGGCGGAGCTTCGGCGACGACGACGAAAAGTTGTAGGCAATGAAGGGGTCTAGATTGGAATATCCCAAGGGCGTCGTTGCGAACTTCCATTTATTTCAGGTTCCTTTTTGCTATTATGCCTCTTTCTCCGTTGCGGAACACGTACACATCCGTGCAGTGTACATGCAGCAGCAGCAATGCATCATCGACCTTCCCGGCGGCTGGCCGGTGGCATGCAGGCCTGGTCCGAGCGCGCGTCTGCGTCGTCAACTGAGCTCCTACTCCTCTTCGTCATCGTCCCCGGAGGCGGAGGCGCAGCTGCATGTGCGCGCGGCGACGTCGGTGACGCGCAGCCTTGTGTCGTAGACCGTGCCAGGCTGCCACTCCGCGGGGAGCACCGCCCCGTCGGCGCGCAGCCACTTGCCGCCGGAGCCCGTGGTCACCACGACCCTAACCTGCAGCGGGCCAGCCGGTGCGTGCGACGTGCGCCACACCCCTGGTGACCCCTCGCGCCACGTCATGTACTGCCATTTCGTCGGTGACGGCGCGGCGGCACTCTGTGCGGCATCAGGTGTCGCCGCCTGCGCGACCTCGACGGCGGCGATGTCGGTCTGGCCGCCCTGGTAGAGGAAGCGAAGGGCGAGGTGGCCCTTATTGCTGGTTTCATCCACCCTCACCGCCAGGTTCTTGCTCTTGTATGCGCAAGGTATCCTCCTGACACTAGTACAGAACCGGCCTTTAGTGCCGGTTCGTGACGGACTTTAGTGCCGGTTCTCCAACCGGCACTAAAGAGTGGAGACTAAAGGTCCCCTCCCTTTAGTACCGGTTCGTCACGAACCGGCGCTAAACTGCCACGTGTCAGGCCCGTTTGCATGTAGGGCATTAGTACCGGTTCGTCACGAACCGGCGCTAAAGTACCACCACGTGGCACGAACCGGTACTAAAGGAGCTGGCTGGGCACCAGCATCTTTACTACCAGTTCGTGTCACGAACCGATACTAAAGATTCTTAAAGAATCGGTACTAAAGGTCACCTCCCGCCAAGTCATTTGAACCGGCACTAATGGGAGCATTAGTGCCGGCTCATATGCGAACCGGTACTAATGTTTCATATATTAGGTCCTTTCTCTATTAGTATGAAGTCGACGTCGACGGCTGTGTCCACCAAGCTCCCGAGCTGACCATCGTCACGAGAACCGGTCAAGACGGCGAACGCGTCCGTCGTGAGCTGGAACTGGCTGCCGCCTGTCCTGTTCGTGCCCGACGCCGGTTTCGCCACGTCGGAGATGATGACCTTGATGCCGCCCTCTGCGCACGCGCTCCGGTCCCTGCACCTCAGCTGGTAGCAGGCGCCACAGGCCCGGCCGCCGCGGAAGAATCCAGCGCTGACGGCTGCAATGTGGAACCCCCCGACGGCGGCGAGCTCCGCCGGGTCACCGTATCCACACGCGGCGCTGGTGAGGACGCCGGCGTAGGGAGGGAGGGGGGAGGCGATGGATCGGCGCGTGCACCAGCCGCAGCGGTACGACGACGAGGGAGTCCCAGAAGCGCGCACGGGCAGCGA